GCACTTCTTCCAACACAGATCTATTGGTTCTTTTGGCAGCCCATGGCACTTTCAATATTCTCCTCCAACACATAACTCAAATGGATCAATTCTTCTACGGTCTTCCTTATTCACTGTCCAGCTTTCGCATCCATATGAGCTTATTGAAAATACCATGGCTTGGGGCAGGCACACCTTAGTCTTCAAGCTGACATCTTTGCTCTTCAACACTTTAAAAAGGTCTTGTGCAACAGATTTGCCTAATGCAATATGTCGACTACTGCTTCCGTGAGTGTTGATAGGTGATCCAAGAAGAATGAAGTCCTTGACAACTTCAATCTTTTCTCCGTTGATAAGAATGTTGTTTATTGGTCCATTGGTGAGGAATTTTGTTTTCTTTACACTGAGATGTAATCCATACCGAAGGCTATGCTCCTTGATTTTCATCAGTAAATGTTTTAAGTTCTATTCACTTTCAGCAAGCAAGGTTATATCATCTGCATATCACAGGTTGTTAATGAGTCTTCCTCCAATCCTGATGCCACATTTTTCTTCATCAAACCCAGCTTCTCCTATTATTTGTTCAGCATGTTGTTGTTATTATGTGCCGTGGAGTCGGTTTCGACTCATAGCGACCCTGTACAGGGTTTCCGAGGCTGTAAATCTTTATGGGAGCAGAAAGCCTCAGCATACAGGTTGAATAAGTATGGTGAAAGAACACAACCTTGTTGCACACCTTTCCCAATTTTAAAACATTCAGTATTCCCATGTTCTTAGCGAACAACTGCTTTTTGGTCCAGGTAAAGATTCCTCATAAGTACAATTAAGTGTTCTGGAATACTCACACTTTGCAATGTTGTCCATAGCTTGTCATGATCCACACAATCGAAAGGCTTTGCGTAGTCAATAAAGCATAGGTAAACATCTTTCTGATATTCTCTGCTTTCAGACCCTGGAAAGGGTCCCACATTTTGCTCATGCTCTTATCCCTTGATGGTTCTAGGGTCCTCTGTTCCTGGAATGCAAGTTAACTATTCCTCCCTTTTGGTTACACGACTTCTACCTTTACAGTTGTGACAATCACAATTAGTCATGATAACAATTACTCACTATTGAATCATAAGAATCTTATCTCCATCTCCCTTCACCAGACCCATCTAGACAAGATGAAAGCTATTCAGTGGGGCCACCTTCCCATGCACAATCTGAAACTAAACTCCTTCTTGAAAATGTGTAAACCAGCCACTTTGTGCCTTTATAGCCATCCCACCCACCCCCCATTTTAGGTAGCCAATGTCTAAGTTGCCCATCCCTATCAACCCTGTATACCAAGGGCATAGGATTGATCCTTGATGTGAAGCCTCCTTTCCTCTCCGTTGGTATTTTGAACTACTACATCATAAATATAGGTCAAGTTCATCAAATTGTAACATTTTGTACTTGGCTCCTTTATCAAATTTCTTTATCTTTCTCTAGTCAAGCTCTGGTCATCAAGCCATCAAAGCTATATCAAATGGGTACTATCTGAGAGTTTGAGAGTTTTTGTGCGTCTCCCCCTACTTCATTCCAGTAACTTTTAATCAGGGTGTTATTCAGTTTCCATGTGTATGATTTTGTTTCCTTGATCTTCCTATTGTTGAGTTCTAATTTCATAACATTGTGATCTGAGGCTTGCTTTGTTGCCTAACACATGATCTATCCTGGAGAATGTTCCCTGTGCACTGGAAAAGAATGCTTTTGTGCTGTTGTTGGGCTGAGTTCTCTGTATAAATCTATGAGGTCCAGTTGATTGACTGTGTTATTTAGTTCTTCTGTGTCTTTGTGGAGTTTCTTTATATAAGTCTATGAGGTCTAGTTGATTGTGTTATTTAGTTCTTCTCTGTCTTTGTGGAGTTTCTTTCTAGTTGTTCTGTCCTTCATTGAAAGTAGTGTATTAAAATCTACTATGATTATTGTAGAGTTGTCTATTTCTTTCTTCAATTTTATTACAGTTTGATTTATGTATTTTGAAGTTCTTTCACTGGAAACTTTACTCATAAAGCCTTACTCATGTCCTTCATTGTCTCTTATGCTGACTTTTTGCCTTAAACTGTATTTTATCAGGAAATAATATTGCTGCTTCTGCTTGTTTTTGATTGCTATTAGCTTGGGTTTTTCTTTCTTTCTTTTTTTTTTTTACATTCTTTGGTTTTCAATAAATTTTTGTCTTTGTTTGTAAGGTCTCTCACTCTCTCTCTCTCTCTCTCTCTTTTTTTTTTTTTACATTTCACCCACTGATACAGTCCTGGTATGGTACTGTAAGACAAACACTGGACCACAAGGTCAATTTGAACTACAAGGTTGGCAGTTCAAACCCACCAGATGCTCCTCAGAAACCCTATACAGGGTCACTATGAGTCAGAACCAACTCTACAGCATATAACAACAACAATGTCAGTTTTGTTTGTTTGTTTTTAAACTAACAGCATTGTTTGTAGATCAAACACCTGGGAAGACTAGAAATGTGACAGCTTAGCTAGGATCCAGGATCTGGGGGCTATGCCTTGTTCTTCAACTGCAGCTCTCACACCTGACCTGGTCGCTCAGGACATCTGTGAGAGGCTGGTATTCCCTGGGTCACTGGGACAAATGCATCTGGAGCCCTTCTCTGGCTTTGGATACAGATGGAATTTGACTGTAGGGTGAGGTCAAGATGCCACACAGTGGACACAAGAACCCCTACCACCCACTACTCAAGATAAGAGCAGCCTGGGGCAGCACGGCCAGGCAATTGTCCTGAGGGGCCCCAGTAGCCTTTGTGCTATGACCAGAACTACAGTCTGAGGGTGGGTGGGGACACCCTAGACTACTGTGACAGCTCAGCCACTTCAGTCACAGAGAAGGCTGCCTCCTTCTGTCCCCATTTGTCATTGTCTTTGAAACCTGAACAATGGATTTAGTCAACTCAGAGCCCAGCTCACTGATGCCAGCAGGTAGGGGACATAGTCCATCTGAAATGTTGAGGCCTGACTTGTTCTATATTTGGTCTTCTGTGTCAGGGGTCCTGGAAATGGAGCATTTCCTGTCAGAGGTCCATCAGGTGGCTCAGGCCTTCTCCTCTGGTAGAGGGTTCTGCTTGTGGGTGGCCAGCCCTAGGGCCTATGCAATTTCCTCATGGGGACAGTGTACTGCAGGATGCCAAGGCCCCTGTCTTGCACACCTAGTACCATTGTGGTCTTTTCTACTGGGCTCATCATCTCCTGGGCCAGCAATGGTGGCAGCCCTGGGGACAGTGGTGCAGGTGCACCAATATAACCCCTGAGAAGTAGACCATGAACAGCACCAGGAAATGCCTGGAGTAGATGAGGAACTGGGAGCCACAGGCCCTACTTATCTGACATGGTAACAGTGATCATGGTCTTGAGGATGGTGGCAAAGAATGTGTTGACTCCAAAGATCAGGACACAGAGTTCTTTTAACAGAGATGACACAATCTGAAACACGGCAGTAGGCACCAGGAACTGTTAGGCACCACAGAAGAGCACAAAGGTGGTGTAGCAGACCCAGATGTTGCTTGTGCTGTACATGAGGAAAACCAGGCCAGCCTGGGTGATGATGACATGTGTGATGACCAACGTGTACCAAAGGGCCCACTGGATCTTCACAAGGTCTGTAGCAAAGGAAGTGATGGTGCCTACTCTTTGGTGAAGTTCTTGTCCCCCAAGAGGTAAGCTGTGATAAAACTCTCCCCGGACTGCATCTGCACAATGAAGCCATAGAAGCAAAGATAGAACACCAGGCTCCACCTCCACCAGGACTTGAGCTCCAGGCCCCTGCTGGAGTCAGGGAGGGCTGCTTCTTTGCCACTACCACCACTGAGCCAGAGGGCACCATGCCGCTGGCAGAGCGACAGAGGGGTACACTCAACTTAAGCATGGTGCCCCTCATTAGGCAGCCTTTCCTCTGCCTTCAGAGCACAGACCATTTAAGGTGTGTCTTTTGTAGACAGTATATTGAAGGACCTTATTTTCTTATTCATTCTGCTGCTCTTAGTCTCTTGGCCAGTGCATTTAATCCATTGACATTTAGTGCAATTATCAATAGGCATGAATTGATTGCTGTCAATTTGCTGTGTGTATTGTGTGTGTGTGTGTGCATGTGTGTGCATGTGGTACTGCTGGCTTCTTTGCTCTACCTAATTTTATGTGCTGGGTTCATTTTGTTTGTGTGTTTCCTTGTCAATTTCTTCACTGCTGTTTAATGTTTAGTACATCTTTATGGTTTCCCTTTTTCTTTATTTGATGTGAAGGTGTATTAATTTTCTCTGACGTTATTGTAGTTAAGTGTCGTTGAGTCAGTTCCAACTCATAACAACCCTGTATAGGGTTTCTGAGAAGCAGTTGGTGGGTTTGAACCATTGACCTTGTGGTTCAAACCAACCTTGAGGCTCACTGCTTATCCTACAGTGCCACACCAAGACTCCCTGTATTTTATTAACTTATTCCCCAATTTAAAACAGTTTGTTTTATTTTGAAATCTACTTGACTTCTAGCCATTTGAAAGTTGAGTAACTACACTTTTTCTTATTTTTGCTTTGTAAGTGTCTTCATAATAAATTGATACTTCTGCTTCCCTATTTTTCAGTCCTGTGGGTTTGTTTTACTTTGGATACTTCTATTTCTGGATTGAATTCTGGGTGGTGTTGCCGTGTATATCAATCTCACATGTTGTCAGTTCTCAGTCCAAAGGACTCCTTTTAGGGTTTTTTGTGAAGCTGGTCAGGTTTTTACAAATTCCTTTCATTTCTGTTTATCTGGAAATGCTCTAATTTCACCATTGTATTTAAGGGAGTTTCACTGGGTTTATGATTCTTGGTTGACAATTATTTTTCTTTCAGAGCTTTGAATATATGTCTTCTCAATGCCTTCTTGCCTGCATGGTTTCTACTGAGAAACCAGTGCTTAGTTTTATTGATTTGTGTTTGTAGGTTAACTTTTTATTTTTCCCAAGCTCTTTGCAAGATTCTTCACTTGGCTTTGATTTTGGAGAGCTTTATTATGATATGTATTGGTGATTTTCTTTTGGGATCTATTCTGTTTGCAATTCATTCAGTTTCTTGAATGTTAGGGATGTTTTCTTCCAATAATTCTTTGACTATATTTTCTGTACTTTCTTGTGTCTCATTCTGTTCTGGAATTCTGATCACCTATAAGTTATTATTCATGGTGACCCTCATGAATTATATGCTTTTCCCCCTCCTTTTTTTTCTGACTGTTATTCTATCTTACTAATATTGATACATTTATCTTAAAGCTCAAAGCTTAGTATCATCTGGATTTCTATTCTCAGATTTTATATTGTCTCCAATCCTTTGTTTTGTTTGTTTGTTCCTGTAATGTTTTCCTGAATTCCGCCTTGTTTTCTTTAACCTATCAATCATTTGGAGGTACCTAAATATTATTCTCTTGAATTGTTTTTCACATACTTTCAGTGCCTTTTTTTCCCTCAAAAACATTTCATAGGTCTACCTCTTGGTCACTTATTTGAGTCACTCTGTCTTGTTTCTTCATGTGAGCACAAATGGCCTGTTGCTTCCAAGACAATGTGATATTGTTGTATTTGCATTAAGTTGATGACTGTATGTTGGTGTATTCTTAGGCACTCACCAACTGCCTCCTGGTGGCTGTGATTAAGGGTTGGAAGCATGTGCATGATTTTCTGTTTACCATCCATGCAGCTTCGGTTAGGATGGGTTTGGCTGATGTTTGTTATTGTTGTTGATCAGTTGTATAGCAGCTGGTAGTGACTCCTGTGAGGTGGGTGGGGTGCAGAGGCTATGGTTGTGGCTTTGCTTTATTGGCAAGGTTTCTTTCCTCTATTGGGTGAGGCAAGAAGAGAAAACACATACAAGAGGAAAGGAAAACAAACAAACAAGTAAACATCAGTGAAAAAGAAACTAGTAAAGGAAAAAAAAGCACACAACAGCTAGAAAAAGAATACAGAAACCAAAAAGAGAAAAGAGGGAGAAGGGAAAAAAAATTAAACCATGGAAGTGAAAATACAGAAAGGAAAAGAACTAATCACAATTTGAAAAAGAATGGGTAAAAAGGAAAAGGATCAGAGAGTCATAAAGAAAACTCAAGAGAAAAAAAGACCAATAGAGAGAGGTGGAAGGGAGAAAGAAAGAAGCAGCAATGGTTGGGAAAGAAAAGCAGAAAAAAAGAAGAAATGAAAGTAGAGACAGAAAGAATAAAATGAAAGGGTAGGTAGAGAGAGGAAGAGGAGGAATAAAGAATAAGAAAACCAGAAAAATGAAAGGAAAAAACAAGGGTAGGTGCCAGACCAAGAAAGGATAAAATTCTGGGGTCATCTGCCAGCCAAGGACCTCACATGGTGGATGAGCAATGAGTCTCTGGCCCTTGATGGAGTTTTTGTGGAGCTAGGTATTATCTGTTCTATGCACCCAATCTGGAAGTAGTTTGTGTCCCTCAAGCCGATGAGTTATCAGGATTTTTTTTAGTTGTTTCAGAGGGCAGCTGAGGCAAGAGGTCCTATTAGTTAGGACTGGCCAGAACCAGCTTTGGCAGGTCTAGAGCAGGTCACAACTGATTCCAGGTATCAGGATTGGTACTTCAAGCTGGCCACACACATTTATGCATATCCAACTACCTGGAGAGCAGGAGTTTTGCTGGGAGTGTAAATGGGTGGGGGCTGGCCATGCCTCTGGTCACTAGAGTAATGTGGGGTACGAGAAATTTTTCATATCTTTTCTTTATCAATAAGTCATATGCCTTTGTCTCAAAACCATTCTCTTGCCTTCAAAGCCACCCATGAAAGTTCAAGATGGCCACATTGTGCCTCCCAGCAATCATGGATCATCTGTCTCCTTTTCAATCCCCATGCCCCATATGCATCTGTTCAACTGCTTCTCCTAATCAGAACTAGTCCATGGCCAAGGTCACCTTTGCAGGTTTGGAGCAGGGTTCATCTGAATCCAGCTGCTGGGGTTAATGGGACTCACAACAGCTGCACTCAAGTCCTTTCAGGCCCAACCTCCAGGAGAGCAGGAGCTTTTCTGAGGGTTCACACAGGTGGGGCCTGGTCATGCCTCTGATCATCAAAGAGTTGGGGGTGGGAAGAAAAAATAATCATACCTTTATCTCTGCTATTCACCATTATGTTTTACAATGCCAATACACTGTCTTGTCTCTGAAGCCACTCACAGTAGCTTAAAATTACCACACCATGTCTGGTCGACCAGCACAGGTCATTAGTCTGTCTCCTTAATGGTAAACCTAGAACTATAAAGATCATCAAAGAAACAACAGGGACAAACTTGGGGGATCGAACACATGGCATACATATAGTATCAAACATTGCAAAAATAAATAACTAAATACACACGAACAATAAAAGACAAAATAGATGACTGGGACTTCCTAAAAATTATAAACTTGTATGCATCAAAAGATTTCATTAAATTAGTAAAAAGGGATCCCACAGCTTGGGAATTTTTTTTTTGCGTTAATGTATCAAACAGGGAACTAATATCTAAATTTATGGAAAACTACAACACCTATACAAGAAAAAGACAATTCAATTTAAAAATGGGCACATGAACAGATATTTCACCAAGAAAGACATTCAGGCAGCCAACAAACATCAAGAAATTTTCACAATCATTAGCCATTGTTGTTGTTGTTAAATGCCTTCGAGTCAGTTCCCACCCATAGTGACCCTGTATAGAGTTTCCTAGAAGCAGCTGTTGAGCTTGAACCACTGACCTGTGGTTCAAACCAACTTTTCAGTCCAGAGCATTAACCCACAGCACCACACCAGGACTCCCATTAGCCATTAGAGACATGCATATCAAAACAACAGTGAGATATCATCTTATCCTAGTATTAACAGCGATGGTCAAAAAAATAAAAACAACATGCAGGCAGGGTGTGAAGAGATCCTCCTACACTGCTGGTCAGACTGTAGAATGGTCCGACCACTCTGGAAAGTGGTATGGTGCATTCTCAGAAAGTTAGAACTAGAAATACCTTATAATCCAGCCATCCCTCTACTAGGTATATATCCTCAAGAAAGACAGGACATGAATATATATGGACACTGGTGCTCATAGAAGCACTATTCACAATAGCAAAAAGATAGTGACAGCCTAAGTGCCCATCAATGGAAGAATGGACAAACAAACTTTGGTACATAGGCACAATGGAATACTATGCAACCCCAAAGAATAATTATGACTCTGCAAAACTCCTCATAACATGGATAAACCTGGAGGACATTATGCTGAGGGAAATTAATCAATTACAAAAGGACAAATATTGTTTGAAAAGCTTAATGAAAGGTTTCCATAGTAAAGAGACATTCTTTGATGGTTACCAGGAGTGGCAGGGAGGGGAGAGTAATTCACTGGCCAGAGGATTAAGGCAATATGCAAGAAGAGGGTGGGCAATATGCAAAAAGAGGGAGGGTGGTAGAAGAATGATGAAAATAGGTGAAGACAACAGTGTGCACGGGCTAATTGGGATAGAGGTAAATGGTGATTTATACACAACTTTGGAACAATAGTGTTCTGTGAGTAGATACATGAATCAAGACATAGGCTGAATTAGTAAACTAGGGGAAAATGTTTATTTATTTGACTTTCTTATGTACATAAGATTTCCCCTGCCGACTATACTGTAAAGTGCAGTCCTGGTGTGGCATTGTGGGTTAATGCACTGGACTGCAAGGTCAGTTTGAATTGCAAGTTCTTCAGTTCAAGCTCACCAGTCACTCCTCAGAAACTCTATACAGGGTTACTATGGGTTGGAACTGACGTGACAGTACTTCACTAACAACTACTGCAAAGTAGATATTTATGTGTGATAGAAATGAATATTGGGAATTATGATTACAGAAA